ATTTTTAATATATATTTAGAGTAAATATTATAATTATGTTTAATTTTTTTTGAACGGGAGAATTATAGAAATGAGGAGATTTTTCAAGTTTGGATGAGAATCGTACTCCCAATTAAATAAAACTAAATACTAAAACTTAAAAACAAATTATTAGAGTTGAGAGTTCGATTTATAATTATTTATTTAATTAGACGGCAGTTTAACGGCGGATGCAGATACAACAAGTCATCACCCACGTGCGGCCCTTGCGGTCCTTACCGTCGACCCGCGTGACTTGGCACCAGAATATGTGTCGCTTACCTTTTCTTTTCTTTTCTTTTTTTACCCAAAGAAAAAAAAAAAACAGAATAGAATTGTTTCACGTCGGTAACTCGGACCGTTTACACTGGTTTCGACCGTCCGAAGGTGACCTTACAGCGAGGTGCATTGAAAGTGGTAGGGCAGGATTCAAAGTTTGTCATTAGGATATTGTAAGGATAGGTCCAAGGTGCCCAGTCTCGGACGTACGACAGTAATTCCTGTATAACCGAAGTGAAAGATAAATTCAAAACTTTCCGCTCAAACAGCTGCATGGCAGCGACAATAAGCATGTCCGCACCTGATTCCTCATGATAAGCTGCACAGCAGTTATGATGGACATCCTTGCATCTGAATATCTCTCAATTTCCTGGTCGCGAAATAACCGTCTGGAGAGACACGTCAAACTCCAAATATTTTGCTTGGCATGCCACGTGGGTTTCTCACTGAAGCTTATAAATACCCCTCAAAGGCCACGTCAAAAAGGTAATTGAAACCAATCCTAAGCTCCTTTTATCCCTGCTCTAAAGGTAGTCCCGATTATTGCTGACTTAAGCATTGAAGTGTCTACCCCGAGACCCATCTCGGGGCTTTGCAGGTCAATCCGAAATGCAGACGTAGACTGAAGAAGGACTTCTGGTTTGGTGCAATTACATTTGGCGCCGTCTGTGGGAATCCGAACTGAAAGTTCTTTCGTTGCTCTCACCATGGTTAACACTCGATCAGTCCGAGCTGGAAACTCATCTCAACCTCTTGGACGAGGTCAAGTCCCCAGCAACCTTCCACCTCAACCCCACCTCCGATCCCAAATATATTCCCTCCTGTTGATCATGCAGAAGGAGGAGATGAAAATCAACCACACAACTCAGCTCACAGTTCCGGTTCCATCGCCAACCAAGACGTAGTTGCAGCTCAACTTGCTGCCATGCAACAACAGTTTGGTGTTTTTCAGTTAGTATTGGCCCAGCTCCTAGCTCGAAATAACCCTGGAGATCCCCTCATCAATTTACTTAACCCTGCTCCATAACCCCCAGCTCCACAGCAAAACCCCGAACCAGTTCAGCATGCTCCTGCTCTTAGTGAATCCCAAGGTCAGTCTCACGTAGCACCAGCTCAGCAACCCCTTCCTGATGATGTCACTCGACGTCTCGATAGCTTAGAAAAGCTAGTGGCTGAACAGTGAGGTGGCCCACCCCCACACCATGCTGCTGATTCCATACCTCACCCTCTGAACACCAACATCACACTGGAACCCTACCCTACTGGCTTTAAGATACCCCAGCTTGAGACTTATGATGGGACGAAGGATCCCGATGATCACCTACATGCTTTCTACTCTTGCATGTAAGCTCAAAATGCCTCTGACGCGTTAATGTGCAAAATCTTTCCCTCTACTCTCCGAGGTAATACTCGAACCTGGTATTACAGTCTACCTCCGAGGTCAATCAGCTTCTATACAGAAATGGCATCTGCTTTTGTCACAAAGTTTTCCAGTAGAAGGTTGATCAGGAAAACCACTTCTGAGTTGATGCGACTTAAATAGAGGGACGGAGAATCTTTGAAGAATTATATGAGTAGATTCAATGATGCAGTATTAGAGGTTAGCTCCTTTGACCAGGCTGTGGGAATTGCAGCTGTGATCTCAGGTCTTGGCCACGAGCGATTCAGAGATAGTTTGATCAAACACCTTGCCACCACCTTTAGCGAGGTGAATAATAGATCTTTAAAATTTATAACTGCTGAGGAATATGCCCTGTCACAGAACCCAACTCCCTCTAAGAACCAAAACCCAGACTGGAGAGATGAGAATCCGAGCAGGAAACGGATGAGGACAACACAGAACCGAGGTCCGATGCCAACCTCCACACCAAGGTTCGGAGGGCCGAGCCCAGCACCTTCACAATAGTCTACAGGTAAACCTCCAGTTACTTGGATACCTTTTAACTTGCCGAGGTCACAGATCTTTATGCAAATTAAGAACAAGATGGACTTAAGGCATCCTGGTCCAATGAAAATTGCCGCTGCTAGCCAAGATCATACTAGATATTGTGATTTTCATCAAGATCACGGTCATACAGCAGAGCAATGCAACAGTCTGAGGTTTGAACTGGAAAGCTTAGCTCAGAAGGGAATGCTGAATGAGTACATTCAGAGAGCTGAACAATCGCGGTTTGTCAGAGAACAGGGACCACAGCCCCAAGGAGTCCGTAATCCACCAAACAGACAAGGAGTGGGACATCAACAAGCCCCACCTCCACTCCCACCACCAGCCAGAATTATTCACATGATTACCGGAGGATTGGAAGTAGGAGGGTTGAGCTCCAAACAGAGAAAGTTGTATGTCAGAGAGGTAAAGCATCAGAACCGACTCAGAAGAGGAAACTTGATGTTACTGACTGGAAAGATCAACCAATCACTTTCACACCAGCTGATTTTGAAGGGGTAGTAACACCTCACAACGACCCTTTGGTCACCTCAATTATGATCAACAACTGTCAGGTCCAGCGTGTACTTATTGACACCGGAAGCGCACCTGACATTATGTACTACCACTATTTTGAGAGCCTAGGGCTTGATCCCGCTTTGTTACAATGTTACGATGGTCCTATGGTCCTATATATGGCTTCAACAACCAACCAGTTCTAGTCGAAGGAGTCATGACCATGAATGTTGCATTTGGAAGTGGCCGAACCTATGTGACTCATTCAGTTCGGTTTCTGGTGGTTAAGATGCCTTCCTCTTTCAACATTGTCATAGGCCGACCCACATTGACAAAGATCCAAGCTGTGGTCTCTCAATCTCATCTTTGCATGAAATTCCCAACCCCCATGGGAGTTGCAACACTCAGAGGTAACCCAGAAGTGGCCAGACACTGACACTGCTATCTCACTTCGATTACAAGGCCACAGAAAGACAAAGACCAACCAGCAGAGAACCCTCCACAGGGAGTCCAGGACAATCGACAAGTGATGGGGGTTGAAATCCTTGATAACCGACCTGAAGATGAAACCCGAGCTGCTCCGGGTGAAGATGTTGAGGAAGTACAGATTGATGAAACAGATCCGAACAGGAAGATATAGATAGGAACTCAGTTGAAGCTTTAGGAGAGAGCAGAGCTGATAACCTTCCTCCGAGCTAACAAAGATGTTTTCGCATGGATCCCAGCCGACATGCCGGGAATTTCCACCTCGATATTTCAACACAAACTCAGCACCAATCCACTCAAGAAACCAGTGGCCCAGAAGCGACGCCTCTTTGGTGAGGTTAAAGGTCATCAAAGAAAAAGTTGAAAAACTTTTAAAAGCTGTTGACGACCACTTAAAAATGGGATTAGGTGTGAAAATATAAAAGAAAATGGAGTCGCCACTCATCCAAATTATAAGGTGGGACAAGTCACCTAAAATGGGTCTGCGCAGAGATCGGGATTGGGGGGTTCGGTTAGGAGTGAGGAAGGGCATATGCGCACCTCACAATCCTCCATTTAAATACGGTTGCATACTTTAAAATCGGGGTTTTGATTCAACTCATTTATTATATTTATGTTTGAGTCTTAATAAGAAAGCCTGAAAAAGGGATAAACCAAATTGAAACATTTTAAAAATTTTTGAACTAAAATGGACAAAATCAAGAACATGCATGCACAATAAACACACATGAAAATTAAATGGACTGACTTGACTAAATTCAAAACATAAAGGACTAATTTGAAAAGAGTTGAAACCCATGGACTGAATTGCTTAATTATAAAACTTGCGGGTGAAATTGAGATAAAATAAAA